CTGTGGGAAAAGATCGGTCCACCCGTGAGCTGCTGTACCACCTGCTTACAAACCTCTGCTTACGATGGCATCAGATGGGCTGAGTTCGAGTACCAGCTCGATTGCTGAGCAGCTCTGAGGCCTTGAGCCAGTTTCTGGGCATCCTGGTGCCTTAATGTGTCCCATGCGAAAAACAGGACACATAATAGTAGCTGCCCCAAAGGGTTCTTGTGAAGATTGATTAAAACATTACGTGCAAGGCGCGTAGAACCTGCCTAGTACATGTGTTTATAAATACTGGCTGTTATTTTTCACTTCTTAAAGGAGTGTCCCTTTCTGTAGATGGAGAGATGGAGACGGGGAGAGGTTGATATCAGGCAGCTGACGAGTGAGTGAACCAGGACTCAAAACCAGGTTGTTCCTTCTAGTTTATGTTGCCTTAAAGGAATCTGTAATGTGGAGGTAGACACATATTTATAAGTCATGATAATTTCAATCAATCAACCAATCATTGATCAACTGTTCAAGTGTAGAGTCTGTCTAGATGGGGAAATGACATTTGTTAAAGGGTGACAGTTTTTCTTAGTGGTACACATGATTTTAATATTGTCAGTCTTACACTGACAGAATTACCTTTGCAGAATTACCTTCCATCGTGGCTTTTCAGGACATTTTAAGTTCATCTTTTATTAGAATTGTGCTGTGCCAGATCTAATTTATATTTTTAAAAGTTCACCCTGACCACTGTGGAGAAGGGTGTTGGTGACCATCGGGGAGTCCGGCTGGGAGCCATGGTGGCTGGTGATCCTGTCTGAGCCGGAGGGGGGGAGATGGGCTGGGAAGGCCAGGGAGTCAGGGCGGGTGCCACGATCAGATGCACAGGCAGGCTGGGCCTGCCCGGGGGATTCTGACAGCTAGTTTGTAGGTGATTTCTTTCTCCGGGCGTGGGTACTGACTCTGTGTCACGTGGGTACTGACCCTGTGTCACGGCTTCAAATGGGATGCACCCTGCTCTTGGGTTCCCAAGAAAGTCTAGTCTTTTTGTCTACTGATTTTTAAACACTGGCAAGTTAAGTATAAATGACTTAAGAAAAACCAAACCAGTAGGAGCTGAAGAAAAGATGTCTGTGGGCTGGACTTGGCTTGGAGCTTCAGGTCTGTGGTCTCGGGGCCGCAGGACCCCCAAGCCAGATGGTGCTGATGTGGAAGTTAGGCAAAGGCCATACACCGCAGGCAGAGACGTCTACTGAAGGAAAGCTGTCACGCCGGGCACAGGAACAGTGGTGACTGTGGTGAGCACAGGAGCAGAACAGTCATGCCGCACACCTTCTGCACAACTCGGCAGCTCTTTCCTTGGACAAGAGCGCCGTGTGGCAGGCAGGGACAGGAAGCGTGACACAGACAAGGCTGCCCTGGAGCTACCCGCACTCACTCATCCGAGCCCAGGGCACATCCTCTCCCAGCTCTGCAGCGACTGGTGTCACAGTCACCCTGAAATCCGCCATCGTGGGAGCATTTACACCACGGGCGTTGGCAAAGACGGAATCAGCTCTGTCCGACGATGACAATCACTTACTAAACACATAGCAGAACACCACTGGATTAAACCATCAGATGCCATTCTAGGACAACCTGAAGGGCTTCGGACTGGGCAAAGCAAGCATCCGAGAATGATTCCGACCAGATCTCCCGACCTTCTAGGTGTCTGCACTCAGAGGTCCTTCCACTTCAGCGCTGACTAAAATTTACGTTTTCTTTGGAGCGAGGACCTCTATGCCCTCCTAAAGGGGCGGCTGCTTCTCACTCATGTCCGCTGTGTTCGGATAGAGGGAAGGAGGGGACAGCGTACTTCTGCTCCTGTTTTGCCTCCTCCAGCCTTTGTCCCTCTGCCAATAGTCTCCCCACCCCTTGATAATTTTGGTAAGTCGCTCAAGCTCCTTTTTCTTGCTTACTAAGTAGAGCTGCTTTTGATTTATCCAAACGAGAGCTCTGGTCCTTCCTCCTCACCTTGCTAGTCACCCCAAAGCCCGTCAGCTTCCTGGGAGACCCTGTGTCCACACGGATGATTTATTAAGATCCCAGTCTCCAAACCTTGTGACTCGGTCAACCTCAGGGACATTTTACCTGTCCTCTTCTTCAGATCACAAGCACAACCGCCCTCTGGACTGCAAAGCCAGCTCTGGAAAGGCTTCATCTTTGAAACATGTGAGGGTCACAATGTCTGCAGGGAGGGATTAAATGAGGTCATTCATGTATGGAAAGCGCCTAAGTGGTGCCTGGCTAACGTGACTGTCCAGCCGAAGCTTCAGTCTTTGATTTTTCTTACCTTTTAAGGATGAGAACACGATGTGGAAACTCTGGTGCCTCTTCCCTCCTTGATTGATTGAATTGGACATAAATGCCGGATACGCGTGTAGTGAACCTTCTGCTGAGCGACATCCTTAGGAATCTGTGTCCCTTCCAACACCAGGAACTGCTGGCATCTGATGTCATTGGTGGCAGTTGTGCTAACATGCACAACATAATACCCGTTCTTTTAATTACTGAACATTCTTGCGGGAAAGTGACGCTGGTTGTCCTCTGATTAATATTTATAGTTTTTATTCTGGCTACCTGCCAGGTGTCTTTATCATGTGAGTTTCCCTGGCTTCCCCTTCCCTCTGCTGCCTCGCTTTCAGTGGCTTGTGTGAGCGTATTTTTATTTTTACCTCTTTTAGGAGTGTCATGGATTTCTTAAACCACACATCTTCTACCCACTGAGGGGTTTCTAATTGGCAAATGTACCTAGTTGTAAGTGGGCTGCGATGAACGTCATTTACGTGACTTTTAGAAAAATATTTGACTGCTTACAGGTGAAGAGTTTGAGTCACGATGACTCTGATGGTTTATATCTAGATCCCTCCCCTGGCAAGCATCAGGTGTTTGTAAGTGTTTTTTGGGGTGACTGGATCATGGATGTGTGATACTCATGCGTGCATTAGTCTGCTGATGAGTTTATAGCTAAGGTGGTGCTGGGAGTTGAAGCTGGTTAGAGGCGGTGTCACCTGGGCCGAGGCCTGGGTGGGCCTCTCTCCCTCCTGCTCCCGTGATTTCTCTCTGTGCTTCCTGCCAGCATGCCAGGAGCTGTTTGTCCTCTGCCCTCTCACTCTGCTGGGCAACCCTGCTGGCTGTGGACTGAAGCCTCTACAAACTATGGACCAAGCTAAACTTTTTCTCTTGAAGTTGTAGACAGTGGGAATTATGTCTCATTGATGAGAACCTGACTAAGACATGACTTTGATCATTTCTCAAAAATTGGTTCCTTTGCCTCACAACAAAATGCATATTAGATTTATTTCATGTGTGCCATTCTTTATGCCAACTTTCCACATTTTTCATTTGCTCATTTAGGATCCTAAAATCTTTATTCTGACTCCTGAGCCATCATGTAACCAGTTATTGCAAAAGAAAAAAAAGTGCATTATCAAAAACCTTTCCAAGTATGGGCATCTGCTGGCCATAACGACAATTACAATGCTTGCTGTATATTATCACTGTGCACCAAGGTGAGATTATTTTCCTGGAAGCAGAAAGACTATATATTTTAAAGAGTCTGTCTTCAAAAATCTCTATTTTCTTTCACGCCACCAGTGCCACTGATCTCATCAAATCATTATTTTGCACTTACCCAAGTTAAACAGCAACCTAACTGCTTTGCACCAGACGCACCCTCCGTGTCTCATAATATTCGGAGATGACTCAGTGCCCAGGGGACTGGTGTCCAGTGTTCCGAGGGACAACCTAGTCTCCCCAGGTAGAGGACAAGGGTCAGGCCCTGTGGCACATCAGTTACAGCAGTTCTGTGTTAAGTTTTATTGTCTTTGGGTTTCTTTAAGGCAACCTGCTGCCCCCTTCACTGAGGTGTAAATGACAAATAATATTTGCATAAACTTAAAGGGTCCAAATGTAATGGTTTGCTATACACTACAAAATGATGAGTACAGTCAGGCTGATTAGCACAGCGTCACCTTGTATAATCACCTTTGCCTGTGTTGGTCACGGCGGTGAGGACCCTGAAGTACTATGTATTTCAGGTGTACATGAGAGCAGTCTTTTGTTTTCATCTGTTTATTCACTGACAAGTGATCTCCAGGAGCACAGGAAAGTATTTTGTCTCCTACGTGGTAGGTGCTCAAGGATCCTTTAATTAATGACGTTTTTCACTGTTTTGTTGGAAAGCTGTAGGCATGGTGCCAGAGTGGACAAAGGACAAAGGGGGTTCTCAGTGTGCAAAGAGGCCCACAGGTAAAGCAGCTGGACTCTGTGTCCTCCCTGCTCTGAGTAGGAACCGTGTCATGAGCCTGCAGATGCGTGGAATAAAGAACGAAACTTGTCCGAACTCTCCTTTTTCTGAAAGCCAGTTAATCCTGGTTTGGGGTGAGTGGGAGTCCCCTCAGCTTTGGAAGAGGTTTACACATGCACACAATTTCACCCCGGCCCCACACGTCAGCGCTAGGAAGAGAATGACATTTTATGGTCTATTCGCTGCACGCTAACAGCAAGTTTTAGAAACTGCACCATGAAGCTAGTCTGGCTCACAGTGTTAGTTCCTTACAGATTATGGCTGTGAGACCTTCGCTGGAGAAGATGGACTCAGGGCCACACCACAGAGGCATATTTTGGAGTAACTTTCAGTAGAGGCTTTGTCAGAGAAAAGAAAAATGTCCAGAACGTAGCAGAAAATTTCAGAAAGTTAGTGGACAATGTAGTAACCTCAGTGGAAGACGTGGGTTGCAGATCTCGCCCTCCCTCTCTGTCCCCCTCTGTCTCTCTAAGTCTCTCTGAGCTGCAGGCAGTAGTCTCTAAATTAAAAGATCCTTGGTTTTTCAGGAATTACTACACTCTGGAATGTGATCTAACAAGAAAGACAGGGCTTTCTTGACTGGGCCATCTTTAAAACCAGACTGAGACTTTTTTAAAAAAATCTGGCTGGAAACGCTGTGTCCGGCCGGGAACTTCCGCTTGCGCGCGTCCTGTTACTGCAGAGCCCCAAGAAGTGGTATTTTTTGAGTCGTGATTAACAGTTTAACTCTTTGGATCCTGCAGTCTGCGAGGAGCACAGGGGAGGGGCGGGGTGTCAGGCAGCCTTTGTCCCTCAGCCCACGAACCCGCAGACACGGACGCCCCGCGGGGCCGGCGGGCTCGGGTGACCGCGCTGTGGCGCCCCCCGGTGCAGCGCACGGCGTGGAGCGCACGGCCTGGCTCGCCCCCTGCCGTCGGCGCCTCCGGGGCGCGCAGCCTCCGGGACCGGGACCGGGACCGGGACCAGCCTCCGGGGCGGGCCGTCTCCACCTGCGGCCCGGTCCCGCGGTCAGCAGGTGCTCAGCCCCCAGGGCTGCGTCCCGGAGGCGCACAGGGTCCGCGAGCTCGGGTGGCCACGGGAAGGGTGGAGGGTGGAGGGGACCCGCAGCCGCCCGGGACCAGGACCGAGACCGGGACCAGGACCAGGACCGGGACCAGAACCGGGACCAGGACCGGGATCGCGGCGCGCACGCTCGTGCCCCCCGCCCCGTTGCCCGGCGACGGCCCAGACAAGCAGGTGACGCATTGACAGCGAGCAGATGGTCCCCCGCCGAGGGGGCGCGGCCGGGCCTCCGCCTCCAGCATGCTAATTCGGGGCGGGGACGGGGATGGGCGCGAGGGGACGCCCGCCCCACGGGGTGCAGCCCAGCCTGTGCAGCCCTGCAGCCCCGCCTCTCCCGCGGGCTCTGGCCGCTTCCCCGGGCTCGGCCCCCCAGCAGGGCTCGCCGTGCGCCCCCCTCCCCGGCCTCCCTCTCCGCGTCTGCAGCGCCTGCAGGCGTCCAGGGTTCAGTCCGCGCCACCAGGTCCCCACCGGGTCCCCGCGCTTCCCAAGCGGGCGCTGAGGTTGGCACAAGCGCAGGGACGAGTTATTTATCTCGCACCCACCCGGGCTTCAGGTCTTCTAGGCAGCTTCGCTTGGCTTTCCTGTTTGCAAGTTCAAAAATAAATCACTGCTCCCCCCCCCCACCGGACTGCCGGGGCTCCCACGCACACCGCCCCTCCGCGCCCCCCTATTCTCCGCTGTGCGGCAAATTGAAGGGAGCTTACAGGAAGGGCCTGGAAACTGCGAGGCCTATTCACGACTTTAACACTAACTTCATAGCTGTCACATAAATTCATGACCAGGCCTGCTCCATAATGGCCAAGAAGGGACTTAAGGGAAGGAGAGAAAAAGTCGAAGCCACTGCTGGGGTGTCTTTCTTTGATTTGCAGGTGTTTTTAAAAACCATTGCTACAGTGGCCTGCAGATAGCTTTTTCTAGCTGCCACAGAGTGCTTTTCTAAAAAACAAAACAAAACAACAACCATCCTCCTTTTTATTTTACAGTAGATAAAATATGCCAAATGCCAATAAAGGCTTGAAAAAAGGAACGGAGAAAAAAAGAGAAAGAGAGACTCCTGAATAAGGTGGGGACAATACGGGGTCACAGAGCTGTCGAGGCTAATGTCATAGTGGGGCTGCCGGGCGGGCACAGAGAAACTTCTTGTTCCTTGATTTTTATGGAGATTTGGGCGCAGGCCTGGCGCTCTCGCTGAACAGGTTTACAACAAGCAGGGAAGAAAGAGCTCTTCACAATCAGCTCCAGGCCGGGGTTTTATGGCCACAAACACCTGTGATTTACAAAGAGGCGTTGCAGGGGACAAAAGGAAGCGGGGAGCCGGGCTATTGTGGGGGAGGCGACGCCTCATGTCTGAGGGCTGTAAGAGAGCGCCGCTTTATTTTAGAACTTGTCTTGCTATGCAAACTTACAAGGCGCAGTGACTATCAGATTATTCTAGGGACTCGAATGACTTTTTCAAACGCTTCTGACTCATCTGGGGCCTGAGTGCTTCACCCCGCGAATATTGTCCTCACCAGAATTCAAGGCGAGCGGACTGGTGGCAGCCTCAAGGACAGACGCGTGAGAAATCTGTACCCGAAGTAAGGGCTCCAGGGTTCTCCGTGGGGATGTACAGTATTTGCATTTCTTTAAACATTTGATCAACTCATTTTTTCCTGGACTATTCCTAACTCCATATTTTTACCCTCTCTCAGGTTTTTGTCTTTTATTTTCAAAACTTTTCTGGTTTTGCTTTTTGACTTGTGCTTAATTTATTTATTTATTTATTTTGATCTGTTCTTCATAGTTTCTTTCCCAGTAATAAAGGAGACAGGCAAATACAGGGAAGCAAAAGATAATAAAATAGAAATATTTTGGCACTGGGAATCGGACTCAGGACCTTGTGCTCGCCAGGCAGGCCACTGAGCTACATCCCCCCAGCCCTAAAATAATAATTTGAAGTTGGGAGAGGTACCTTTCATTTGGGGGGGACCAAGGAAATGCCCTCCAAGATGACCACATTTAAGCTGTGACCCAAAGCAAGCAAAGGAGCAGGGGAAGACCCAGCCCAGCTGCAGGGTGTCAGGCCCCAAGCCGGGGGACCCTGGAGTCCTGGAAGGAGAGGATGGCTCGAGAAACATGGGATGGGGGGGGGGACTGAAAAATGGTGCTGGAGAGATGTCGGGGAGCAGACCAGGGAGGAATTCGTGAAGCCTGGAGAAGAACTGGATTTTATTCTAAAATAAATAAGGATTTTGAGGGAGGGGTCTATACATCCTAAGGGATGTTTTCAGGTCATTATCCCTGCTGTGGGGAGTGTTGTCTGAGTCTGTTTTGTGCTAGAATCTATGGCCTGCTGGGTGGCTTATGTCCTGTAGGACTTTATTTGGCGTGTGGTTTTGGAGCCTGGGAAGTCCAAGAGAGGGGCGCTGGCCTTGGTCCCGGCTTGTTGTGTGGTGGAGGGCAGAAGGCACGGAGGGCGAACGGGACAGTGCAGCCTGCATCCCGTTACAGTGGGCATCCCTTATGCAGGAGGTCGGAGCACACAAGAGAGCGGAAGCCAGTATTAAAGGGTGGCCATTGACAGAGCACGGACCCAACGATGAACTTAGCAGCCCACTGGCTGGTTAGGGAGCTGCCCGGAGGCCTCTGTAGTAATGCAGGAGACACGTGGTGGTACCTGGGCTAAGCTGGTGTTAATGGAAATGAAGAGAATGGGTGGAGTGGGGATCTGCTTTCCACAAAGGACTGATGAGACCCAGTGGGTGAGACTTCGTGAGAGGGCTGAGGACGGCAGGTGAGGACCCAGGATGGCCTGGGAGGGACAGACCCGTAGCAGATGGAGGTGCACCCCGGGGTTAAAGGCAGACCAGAGCCAGGAGGGCGCAGTGAGGTGTTCTGTTTCCACGTGTGGATTTGGAGCTGCTTTAGGGGGCGCGGAGTACAGAGGGTGTGAGAGGTCAGCTGACTGGCCCAGCCCCTCATCACTTCTTAGGCTCCCGTAGACCCCTGAAGCGGTGCGGCAGGAAGGGGTGAGCTGCACTGGTAGCTCAAGACCTGCTGTGTCTGGGCACAGGGAGTCCATACAGGAAGCAACAGCCGAGAGCGATCGATTGCTGTCTGCTTATTACATTTCCAGTAAGTGTCCTGGTAAACTTGGCCCCGGAGATGGTTTATCTCGAGAGAGGAAGTGTTTCTTTCAAGATTTTCTTTGTTTTCCATGGAATAGAAGCTACTATATCTGTGATTGCCTGGAAATGGGATGGAGGTGCCAGAGTTGCCTCTTGAGATATCTATATATCTATATCTCTCTCCATATATATATATGTGTGTATATATATCTTTCAAATATAAGAAACATTATGTAGAATTCTGTGGCAAAACAGTTTTAAAAAGCCTTCATAGAATTATCATATTAATGGGCAAAATTAAGTAAAATCATCTCAAGGAGAGATGGAAAACCTGGTTAAAACAATAGTACTGACAAAGATTTAAAAAATACTTTCAAGTTGTTAACTCTGAAATGTCTCTGAATCCAGACAGTTTTACAGGAGGGTTCTTCCAGTGTTTTAAACCTGAAGTTCCATGTTTCAGAAATTGTCATAAGAAATAAAAGTTGATGAAATTTCCTGAATTCATATGATATTTAAACAGATATGGTACAATAACATAAAGTCAAAACTGTTTTACTCATAAGTATATATACTAATATCTAAAAACTCCATAGATGTATTGATTTAATCATTGTAGCTGTGATACACAGTGGATATCATTGCTGGATAGTTGAACATTAGAAATTTTAGGACTATATTACAACAATAGGAAAAATAAGAAAAATAAGAGAATCCTAGTAAATATGAAATATAGAACAACAATGCCTTATAAAGTGGATGCAGATAGGTACTTATTTAACATACACAATATCTATTTTAATGGGCATCATTGCATATTTAACAAAAACACTAGAGTATTTTTAAAATTACAAACATGGATAACTACCATGCCAGTATTATTTCAGATTATTCTTAAAATCTTACGGAATTAAATAAGATATGAAACAGGAATAAGTGGTAAAGCCATTTGGAAAGAAAGGAAGGGAAAGATCGGCAATTTCTCCCTCGTAAAAATCTGAGAAAAACACACCTAAAATCTGCCACAGAAATGTTAAGAAATTCAACTACTGGAAAAATACGTAGGAAGCTATAAAAATGTGCCTCATCAAAATGCAATCAGTGTTACAATTTACAAATAATGTCACTGGCATTTGGATTCCGTCCTTCTCTCTGTCCTTCAGCAGGGACGGGTTAGACGTCTCTTCCTTGGGGAAAAGTGTTGTTAGGAAGTGCAGCGCTGTGAGGCCTTTTGAACACAGTATGCTCAATGTTGTGCCTTATGTAGAATGTAAGTTCCTCTGTATGTACTTTGGGGATTGTCCCTTATTTCCTGCCAGAACAGACTAACTTAAAACATCTTCTTTAGCCACACACTCACGTTTATATTATATGGTTGCTACTGTCCTAGCAATACAAAAAAGAAAATTTGGTGTGGCTATTGTATACTAATATCAAATTAAACATTCCAAGGAAAGAGATCACATTCTTAGAGATGACAAAGGAACTGTGTAGAAGTGACTTTTATTAAGATGGTACACTAACTTTACACTTTCAAGCAGCTAATTATAAAACACAAAAATTGATACAATTTCAGAAAAGAATAGAATGAGCCAGTAGGTTATGGGAGGTTTTAATGTGTCTCTCCACAAGTCTTAGGTCACACAGATGAAACAATCAGAGATGTAAATGATTTGTACAACATAATAGGCTTGATCTAAAGAGCAGCTATAGATTATATCTAATAGTTGGGTAATATAGATTCTTAGCAAATTTAAAGAAATTGGTGGCATAGAGACTGGAAAACTATCCTCAAGTGTTTCTAAGCATTGATATCAATAGATCTTATTTTAGGAAAATAAGAAAACTTGGTTTAGAAACTAATAGCAGGAAGGTAACTGGGAAACATCATTCATCTAAACAGTTATGGGTTAAGAAATCATAATATAAACTGAACAGCTTTAGAAATGAGTAATAATGAAAATATCACATTTCACACTGTATAGGAGACAGGCACCAGAAGGAAAGAAATTGTGTAAATGCACTGCAAAAACAGAAGAATAGAAGAATTTAGCTCTAAGGCATATAAGAAAAAGAATAAATATGTACAACAAAACTAATAAATCAGAAAATAAACAAAAATATCACAGAACTAAAAACTGATTCTTTGAAAAAAATGGATAAAATTCACAAGTCTTCATCGAGTCAATGAATAGAAAAGAGAACTGCAACATAAATAATATTAAGAATTAAAGTGGGGACAAATAGGGTAGATTTTATAATACTAAACATAGTGTAAGTTATATGTAGTTTAATGTCAATGAATTTGGAAATATAGAAAACCAAAGATTAGTTTCATTGAAAAACACAGTTTATCAAAATGTACTAAAAAAGAAATAGAAAACATAAATAGTCCTATAACCACCAAGTAAGTTGAATCAATAGTTTAAAATTTTCCCACAAAAATATGTAAGAATAAAATGGTTTTGCCAACACAGATATGTAAGCAGATAAGGTATCTTGGTTCATGGACTTAATTTCTTCCATGATTCTGGGGGAAGTGGCCATCGTTATGTTTGTCACCTGACTTGGACTTTGTGAATAGAAGCAAAATTTCACCAAATGCTTCTGTTTGCAAACTGAACAGTGTTTGTGAACTGAGGCATTACTATAATTTCATTTCCACACAGACTCTTGGTGATTGGGATAAGAGAATTCCCTCCCACTAATTCCGTGGAATGAGCATAACCTTGGTACCAAAATAAAGTTAGCTCTTGTGGACAGAATACCAATTTCACCAAAGATAATAGCAAAGTTCACACGTAAAATTCTATCAAATGGAAAAGCTTCTGCACAGCAAATGAAACAACCAACAAATGAAAGAGGGAACCTACACAGCTGGAAAACATTTTGCCAGCTATTCCTCAGAAGAAGATTGATGCCTAGGATATACAGAGAACTCAAAGATTAGACCTTCCCCTCAAAATAAACTTAATCGACAGTGGCCAACTGAACAGAAGTACAAAGGCCAATAAAGACATGAAAAACTGTTCAATGTCTCCTGCTGTTAGAAAAATTGTAAGTTAAAACAACACTGAGATTCTGGCTTACTCCATCATCAGGAAATCACATAATTACAAATGCTGACGAGGCTGTGGGAAAAGCTTTCTGCAGTGTTGTGTGTGGGTGTAACTGCCATGAGTATTAGGGAAATCAGTGTGGAGTTTCCTCAAGAAACGAGAGCAAATTCTATCCAGCCTCACTATTCTCATTCTAGGTATCATCCCAGAAGAGCTGACAAGGTTGTAGTACAGTGATCTGTGCACAACGTGAGAAGGGGTCCCCGAGACAGAGGGATCAGGGAAGGAGGAGGGGAAGGGAATTAACAAAGAATTGAACTGTGATATGTGCTTGTCCCAGCTCTCTAGGAGGAAGGTGAGCAGTTTGTGCTTCAAACATTTACTAACAGAAATTGAAAATAAACAATTAAATACATACGTAGGACTAAGGAAAAAATTATTATTATTGGGGCAATTTCTGCATGGTCTATGAAGAAGATAAAAAGCAAATTGATTAACAAAATCTAACACCATACTACGGAGAAAATACGTGTGAATAGGTTGTTTTTATCCCAAGGATGTTTGATGGGTTTAATATTGATAATTTTATTAATATGCCATCACTTTAGCAGATTTAAAGGAAATATATGATTCTTTTAAAAGATGCAGAGAAAGCATTCAATAAAACTCACCATCTGCTCCTAATTAAAAAAAAAGAAGAACAAGAATGTTTGCAAATTAGGAGTCTAAGCAAGCTCATTTAACTTGGTAAAGGCATCTAACCAAGTAAAAATACAAGCATCATACTTGATGGGGAATACACGAACCCCTGTTTGTGTTAAGAGCAACCTAGTGCACCCATTTCATGGGCAGGCTGACCCGATACCAACCTGAGGCTCCATCTCATGAGCGTCAGACCTACTGCCCGGTCAGTGTTATTTTCTCTAGTTTTATTGTCCTTTTCCAATTATTCAATACCTTTGCAACCAACTCCTCACCTTACTTTTTCTTTGATTAAGATATCTTAAAACTCAAGCCTCAGAACTATAAATACAATCCCAGTACTCGGGAGGCTGCAGGATGGCTGCAAATTCAAGACCAGCCTGGGCTACAAAGTGAGCTCAGATCCAGCCTGAACTACATAGTGAGACCCTGTCTCAAAAAGCAAACAGAAACAACAAACAAAAAAACCCAAAAAACAAAAAACGCACCACCACCACCACCATCACTACCGCCAAAAAACTATAAATACAAAATCAGGCATCAAAATGAGTGAGAAGAAAACACACAAAAATATTGGAAACTTAGGAGATTTAGGTCATTTCCCTCTGAGACATTTTCTTTTTTTAAGCAGTGGCAAAAGTTTATTCAAGAAAGCAAAACATGAAGAGAGAGAAACTGGCTCTGCGGAGCAAGCTTGGATTAAGATTGAGTAAATAGAAAAAGAAGGTAAGAACAAGGGCAGGAGTGCGCGCTGCCTCCGGAGCACGGTGTGGGCGCTGTAGACAGTTCCGATCCCTTCCTAGACATTGTAAAGGAAGTTGCATGCTGCCTCCAGCCTCCCTCAGTTCACCCAGAACACGTAAGTCCTACTAGCAATGCCCAGAACTCCCAGGCCCTGGGCAGGCGAGGCCTACGCTGTATTTCCTTTACAGGAAATCTGTCTTTAGGAACACCACAGCTATCTGCCTCTGCCACGGCTCTTTCTCACGGCCTGAGCGATGTAAACTGGTGCAGAAGGCAAACTGGAAGCGTAGAGATTTGAGAAGACAAGCTGTCAGTATCATCCGGTGGTGCAGCTGCTCACATCGAATCCCCACATCAGCTACACACATGTTTTTCAGAATGAATGTGACTTGAAATAACTTTGTCTTAAAGTAATGTGGAAAATTAAATCATGTCTACGCAATGCATAAACCTCAAAAACTGTAATTTAAAAGATAACAGGTAAGGTAAGAAACTGCCAACCTCTCCTGGCTTGGTTACTTTTCTTGTGGCTGACACAAAATACCTGACACCCAACATTAAAGGGGAAGGTTTGTTTTGGCTCACAGTTTGTGGAGGTTCCATAGTTGGCTGGCCCAAGGCAGGCTGGCTTTGCAGGGGGCATCACAGAGGCGCGCTAGGCAGAACGTGGAGAAATAGTGAAGAACCTGCGGTGGCAGGAGTCTGCTTTCTGTTGTTTATATTTTCTCCAAGCTGACCATCCTTAGGGAAGGCAGCACTCACAGAGAGGTTAGTCCTCACATCGCACCATGAATCAGTCAGTCAATTCCACCCTTAATTTCAGTGTTAGATGCTAGATTTACCACCTCTGAGAATCTCCGTGTGTGATTACACGAGGCTTTGTGGGGACATCTAGACACAACCATAACACCTCCCTGCCTAACCATCAAAATTCCCCAAGCCAACAGTATCCGGAATTACATCTGGCGATGGGTAATCAGAAAACTTTCTAGAGAAAATGGTACAATGTTAGTGAAAATCACTGCAGGGAACTGCTGTGTTCATAGATACAGCCTCTTAAAAACATCAGTTTCCCCATAATTGCACCTTTACACTGGCTCTGTTTATGGGGAGTTGTACCCACAAACAGAAGTCAGAGGTGACATTATGCAGCAAGAGGAGAAAAAGCATTCTTCTTACTGAACTCAGTTTGTTCGCAGACGGGATGCAGGTACAGCATGAGAGCCACTGCTATGTCTTACGTCCTTTTTAGGTGAAATTGCTCCATTTCAGCCACGGATTTTGGTGCCTGGGTTTGGAATAGCCCTTTAATTTGCATACGATCCTCATCATTGTGCCTGAGAGCATGCTGTACATGTCTTCTTTGCCGCCCTAGGGATACATGACTTCTCTGTCAGGAAAACCTGGGGGGACACAGCCCATGTTCTTTTTTTTTTTGCATACCACTAAAAGATGATCCCACACCCTAAAAATGGGGCATGTGAGCTTCTGTTGAAGTGGCCGACATTGTCTCTGAGAGGTTCTATGTACTAGGTTTGCAGGAGGAGGCAGGCTTTTTACTGACACGTGAAGGAAGGCCTTCTGAGCATGCTAAGGATGGTGCTGTGCTGGTTTTTATTCTATTGCTGTGGTAGCAAATTACCACAGGCTCGGTTGCTTCAAATGACCCACTTTTGTTATCTTACAGTTCTGTAGGTCAGCAGTCCAACACGAGTGTGACCTAGTTAAACACAGGTGACAGCACATTCTGTTTTTTTCTAGAGACATTCAGGGACACCACCTGCTTTGGGTCTCCCAGCTGCTGGCCGCTGTCTGAACTCCTCGGTTCCCGATGGTGTTCCCGATTGTCCAAACCAGCGGCAGCAGGCTGAATCCTTCTCACATCCCATCGCTGCAGCCTTCCCTGCCTCTCCTCGCCTTCCTGGACCCTGGAGGTCACACAGGCTCACGTGGTCGGTCTCCCTACCTCCAGGTCCTTCACTGGGATGCAGCTGCAAATTGTCTTTGCCCGGAAGGTGGTGCCTTCACAGGTTCTGAGTGAGGGGGCCACCATCTGGGGGCTTGGGAGATGGAAGGGAAACCCTCTGACATTGCTTCCGGTTCCCTCCCCAGCTCATGCTGCTCTGCCCACACTGGCAGACCCCAGACCGGAGCTGCCCGCTCCTCTCTCGGAGTGGAATGCCATCCCTAAGGTTAATCTCTGCCCAAGGGCCTGCAATGAGCCTCCATCACAGATTCACCCTGTGTGTTTTACCCTCTCCCCGCGCCTTGTATTTTCTCTAGCATTTCTTTCTTTTGCTGGGTGTCTTTCTGGAAGTTAATTCCTTTGAAGGCAGAAACTTGGTTAGTTTTGGTTCCTTGTGTTACCCCGTGTCTGGCCTGGTGCCTGATGCAAAGCAGGTCATGCAAATGCATTAATTTCTCAGTTTTGCTTCTTGATAGAATATTCTCTTTCATAAACTGGGCCATAAGAAATTTCTATTATTTGAATTAAGAGTTGGATTAAAATTGAAGTCTAAATGGTATGACCAATGTATTTGGTAATTTTACCAAGATTGCTGCCTGTTTGTGTAATCTGAGTGGCCAGATTTACAGCTGACATCAGTAAGTGATGAGTTTGTATGAAATATGAAGTATCTTCTATGAATTCTTCTGTTACTGTTTATACTGTTTTGAGAGGAGAGTTGGATAATTGTGCTAGCTTTCCCATCCCTGGAATACTGTACCTGACACCTACAGTTTATAGGAGGAGAGGTTTATCTGGCTTATGTTTTCCGGGGCTCAGTCCATGCTTGGTTGGCTCCAATGCAGAAGCATCGTCGTGGAATGGTGTCGTAGAGCAAAGCTGCTTGGTTCATGGTGACTGGGAAGCAGAGTAGGGGGACAGTGCCTGAGAGGACGGGATAAGGGCCCGATACAGGAAGCAGCACCCAAGGTTGTGCCTCCAGGACCGATGCAGACACACCCAGAGCGTGGTCCCTTAGGTGACTTCCAACCAATCAAACTAACAAAGTGAAGTTAATCACAGCCATAGCAGTGCTCAAAGTAATTACTTTGGAATCCTTATCTTTCACTAGTTATTAAATCTTTTTGCTTTAAAAATTTTTAATTGTCTCGCTCCATGAGATCATGGAGGAACATATATACTATTTTGTCTGTTCTAGGCAAGTATTCTGCTTACTCAGAGTTCCTTTTAGGAGAATGCTCCCCCCCTGCCCCCATTTCCACCACAAATCCTGGGGACTGCACAAGCATGGTGCTTGGAGTCTTGGCTGCCAGGATGGCTGTGTGACCGACTCAGCCTGGACCAGCTGGAGTGGCTGTGGTGGGAGCCACATAATCTAAGTGAATGCAGGGTTCTTCCTCTCCGTTTCTGTACTCAATGGGGAAGAGAGCGTTCTTGTTCCCCTTGGGTCACTAAGTGTGAAGATACAAGTCCAGGGTGGCCTGTGGTCTGAGAAGTAAGCAGAAAATTAAGCAGAGACAGGAGTCCAAATGTCTTGACCTATGCAAGGGGTGATGGAAGCTACATGCTCAGACTTACAGTGAAAGACAGTTGCCATTAACCCCCCAAACACCCCCATGCACTGCAAACACACTGACTTCACTGTCCTTGCCACTTTCTGAAGTCTTCTTCTTTCTTGAGTGTCTTTATGAGGTATGATCAAAAACACGGTGAATGCCGCTGCCCAGCGCCCTCCAGCAGAAACGCGATGCTCAAGTTCAGACAGTCACTTAATGCACCGGATCTGGCACCGTGTGACTTCGGGGTCTTCCCCCAGATCAAAATGACCACAGAAGTGAAGCACTTTTCAGGACATCAAGGCAGCCACGATAGCCCAACTAAAGATGCTCACAAAAGAGAACGTCCAGAACTGCTCTGGAGAGTGTTCGGAATAAGGAGGTGAGTGCGTTTCCATGTGTGAGGGAGGTTTGCGGAGGATGGATGGCAGTGTATCTTTTACTTTAATATATTTTTAAAAGCTTAAACACACACCACATTTTCAATTCTGCCTCACACATTATTTTCTCCCTTTTCCATGTGAATGAACTTGTCTAAGAGCAGGAAATACTTGCCAGAGGCCCCACAGCCAAAATGAGGTAGCGAATGGGAACTGGACACCCAGGCAGTCCAACCTCTCTTACTGTCCATTCTATCTGTCCACCCTCTCTCACTGTCCGCCCTCTCTCACTGTCCGCCCTCTCTCACTGTCCGCCCTCTCTCACTGTCCACCCTCTCTCACTGTCCACCCTCTCTCACTGTCCGTCCTCTCTCACTGTCCACCCTCTCTCACTGTCCGCCCTCTCTCACTGTCCGCCCTCTCTCACTGTCCACCCTCTCTCACTGTCCACCCTCTCTCACTGTCCGTCCTCTCTCACTGTCCGCCCTCTCTCACTGTCCGCCCTCTGTCACTGTCCGCCCTCTCTCACTGTCCGTCCTCTCTCACTGTCCACCCTCTCTCACTGTCCGCCCTCTCTCACTGTCCACCCTCTCTCACTATCCGTCCTCTCTCACTGTCCACCCTCTCTCACTGTCCGCCCTCTCTCACTGTCCACCCTCTCTCACTGTCCGCCCTCTCTCACTGTCCACCCTCTCTCACTGTCCGCCCTCTCTCACTGTCCACCCTCTCTCACTGTCCGCCCTCTCTCACTGTCCACCCTCTCTCACTGTCCGCCCTCTCTCACTGTCCACCCTCTCTCACTGTCCGCCCTCTGTCACTGTCCGCCCTCTCTCACTGTCCGTCCTCTCTCACTGTCCACCCTCTCTCACTGTCCGCCCTCTCTCACTATCCGTCCTCTCTCACTGTCCACCCTCTCTCACTGTCTGTCCTCTCTCACTGTCCACCCTCTCTCACTGTCCACCCTCTCTCACTGTCCACCCTCTCTCACTGTCCGCCCTCTGTCACTGTCCATTCTCTCTCACTGTCCATTCTCTCTCACTGTCCACCCTCTCTCACTGTCCACCCTCTCTCACTATCCGTCCTCTCTCACTGTCCACCCTCTCTCACTGTCCGTCCTCTCTCACTGTCCGTCCTCTCTCACTGTCCACCCTCTCTCACTGTCCGCCCTCTCTCACTGTCCACCCTCTCTCACTGTCCGCCCTCTCTCACTGTCCGTCCTCTCTCACTGTCCGCCCTCTCTCACTGTCCGCCCTCTCTCACTGTCCGCCCTCTCTCACTGTCCACCCTCTCTCACTGTCCACCCTCTCTCACTGTCCGTCCTCTCTCACTGTCCACCCTCTCTCACTGTCCACCCTCTCTCACTGTCCACCCTCTCTCACTGTCCGCCCTCTCTCACTGTCCGTCCTCTCTCACTGTCCGCCCTCTCTCACTGTCCACCCTCTCTCACTGTCCGCCCTCTCTCACTGTCCACCCTCTCTCACTGTCCACCCTCTCTCACTGTCCACCCTCTCTCACTGTCCGCCCTCTCTCACTGTCCGCCCTCTCTCACTGTCCGTCCTCTCTCACTGTCCGCCCTCTCTCACTGTCCACCCTCTCTCACTGTCCACCCTCTCTCACTGTCCGTCCTCTCTCACTGTCCACCCTCTCTCACTGTCCACCCTCTCTCACTGTCCACCCTCTCTCACTGTCCGTCCTCTCTCACTGTCCACCCTCTCTCACTGTCCGCCCTCTCTCACTGTCCGCCCTCTCTCACTGTCCACCCTCTCTCACTGTCCACCCTCTCTCACTGTCCGTCCTCTCTCACTGTCCACCCTCTCTCACTGTCCGCCCTCTCTCACTGTCCACCCTCTCTCACTGTCCGCCCTCTCTCACTGTCCACCCTCTCTCACTGTCCACCCTCTCTCACTGTCCGTCCTCTCTCACTGTCCGCCCTCTCTCACTGTCCGCCCTCCTCACTGTCCGTCCTCTCTCACTGTCCACCCTCTCTCACTGTCCACCCTCTCTCACTGTCCGTCCTCTCTCACTGTCCGCCCTCTCTCACTGTCCACCCTCTCTCACTGTCCACCCTCTCTCACTGTCCACCCTCTCTCACTGTCGGTCCTCTCTCACTGTCTGCCCTCTCTCACTGTCCACCCTCTCTCACTGTCCACCCTCTCTCACTGTCCGTCCTCTCTCACTGTCCGCCCTCTCTCACTGTCCGTCCTCTCTCACTGTCCACCCTCTCTCACTGTCCGTCCTCTCTCACTGTCCACCCTCTCTCACTGTCCACCCTCTCTCACTGTCCACCCTCTCTCACTGTCCACCCTCTCTCACTGTCCGCCCTCTCTCACTGTCCACCCTCTCTCACTGTCCGCCCTCTCTCACTGTCCACCCTCTCTCACTGTCCGCCCTCTGTCACTGTCCGCCCTCTCTCACTGTCCGTCCTCTCTCACTGTCCACCCTCTCTCACTGTCCGGCCTCTCTCACTGTCCACCCTCTCTCACTGTCCGCCCTCTCTCACTGTCCACCCTCTCTCACTGTCCGCCCTCTCTCACTGTCAACCCTCTCTCACTGTCCACCCTCTCTCACTGTCCGTCCTCTCTCACTGTCCACCCTCTCTCACTGTCCACCCTCTCTCACTGTCCACCCTCTCTCACTGTCCGCCCTCTCGCACTGTCCGCCCTCTCTCACTGTCCGTCCTCTCTCACTGTCCACCCTCTCTCACTGTCCGTCCTCTCTCACTGTCCACCCTCTCTCACTGTCCACCCTCTCTCACTGTCCGCCCTCTCTCACTGTCCACCCTCTCTCACTGTCCACCCTCTCTCACTGTCCGCCCTCTCTCACTGTCCGCCCTCTCTCACTGTCCACCCTCTCTCACTGTCCACCCTCTCTCACTGTCCACCCTCTCTCACTGTCCGTCCTCTCTCACTGTCCGCCCTCTCTCACTGTCCGCCCTCTCTCACTGTCCGCCCTCTCTCACTGTCCACCCTCTCTCACTGTCCACCCTCTCTCACTGTCCACCCTCTCTCACTGTCCACCCTCTCTCACTGTCCGTCCTCTCTCACTGTCCACCCTCTCTCACTGTCCGCCCTCTGTCACTGTCCGCCCTCTCTCACTGTCCGTCCTCTCTCACTGTCCACCCTCTCTCACTGTCCGTCCTCTCTCACTGTCCACCCTCTCTCACTGTCCGCCCTCTCTCACTGTCCACCCTCTCTCACTGTCCGCCCTCTCTCACTGTCCACCCTCTCTCACTGTCCACCCTCTCTCACTGTCCACCCTCTCTCACTGTCCGTCCTCTCTCACTGTCCGTCCTCTCTCACTGTCCACCCTCTCTCACTGTCCGCCCTCTCTCACTGTCCGCCCTCTCTCACTGTCCGTCCTCTCTCACTGTCCACCCTCTCTCACTGTCCGCCCTCTCTCACTGTCCGCCCTCTCTCACTGTCCACCCTCTCTCACTGTCCGCCCTCTCTCACTGTCCGCCCTCTCTCACTGTCCACCCTCTCTCACTGTCCACCCTCTCTCACTGTCCGTCCTCTCTCACTGTCCGTCCTCTCTCACTGTCCGCCCTCTCTCACTGTCCGTCCTCTCTCACTGTCCACCCTCTCTCACTGTCCGCCCTCTCTCACTGTCCACCCTCTCTCACTGTCCACCCTCTCTCACTGTCCGTCCTCTCTCACTATCCACCCTCTCTCACTGTCCACCCTCTCTCACTGTCCGTCCTCTCTCACTGTCCACCCTCTCTCACTGTCCGCCCTCTCTCACTGTCCGCCCTCTCTCACTGTCCACCCTCTCTCACTGTCCGCACTCTCTCACTGTCCGCCCTCTCTCACTGTCCACCCTCTCTCACTGTCCAACCTCTCTCACTGTCCGTCCTCTCTCACTGTCCACCCTCTCTCACTGTCCGTCCTCTCTCACTGTCCACCCTCTCTCACTGTCCACCCTCTCTCACTGTCCGTCCTCTCTCACTGTCCACCCTCTCTCACTGTCCGCCCTCTCTCACTGTCCGCCCTCTCTCACTGTCCACCCTCTCTCACTGTCCGCCCTCTCTCACTGTCCGCCCTCTCTCACTGTCCACCCTCTCTCACTGTCCACCCTCTCTCACTGTCCACCCTCTCTCACTGTCCGTCCTCTCTCACTGTCCGTCCTCTCTCACTGTCCGCCCTCTCTCACTGTCCGTCCTCTCTCACTGTCCACCCTCTCTCACTGTCCGCCCTCTCTCACTGTCCACCCTCTCTCACTGTCCACCCTCTCTCACTGTCCGTCCTCTCTCACTGTCCACCCTCTCTCACTGTCCACCCTCTCTCACTGTCCGTCCTCTCTCACTGTCCACCCTCTCTCACTGTCCGCCCTCTCTCACTGTCCGCCCTCTCTCACTGTCCACCCTCTCTCACTGTCCGCACTCTCTCACTGTCCGCCCTCTCTCACTGTCCACCCTCTCTCACTGTCCAACCTCTCTCACTGTCCGTCCTCTCTCACTGTCCACCCTCTCTCACTGTCCGTCCTCTCTCACTGTCCACCCTCTCTCACTGTCCACCCTCTCTCACTGTCCGTCCTCTCTCACTGTCCACCCTCTCTCACTGTCCACCCTCTCTCACTGTCCGTCCTCTCTCAGTGTCCGCCCTCTCTCACTGTCCGCCCTCTCTCACTGTCCGTCCTCTCTCACTGTCCACCCTCTCTCACTGTCCACCCTCTCTCACTGTCCGTCCTCTCTCACTGTCCGCCCTCTCTCACTGTCCACCCTCTCTCACTGTCCACCCTCTCTCACTGTCCACCCTCTCTCACTGTCCACCCTCTCTCACTGTCCACCCTCTCTCACTGTCCACCCTCTCTCACTGTCCGTCCACTCTCACTGTCCACCCTCTCTCACTGTCCGTCCTCTCTCACTGTCCACCCTCTCTCACTGTCCACCCTCTCTCACTGTCCGTCCTCTCTCACTGTCCACCCTCTCTCACTGTCCACCCTCTCTCACTGTCCGCACTCTCTCACTGTCCGCCCTCTCTCACTGTCCACCCTCTCTCACTGT